TGTGTGTGTGTGTGTGTGTGTGTGTGTGTACTCGTGGTGGAACACCAAACCAATGTGCCAGGATCTGGACAATAAAGATGTATCTTATCTTATCTTATCTTATCAATAGAGCCCCTAAAGCCTTATTTCTTCCCATACCAGGCATGTTTGTCACCACCATTTCTCAAAAAGTCGGGGGAGGGGGGGTTCATTTTTCTTTATTTACTGTTTTCTCAAAACGCAGTTTTTCTGTATATTTTTTTATAACTCCGTCATTCTTTATTTCATCTTTATGAAATTATCACAAAATAAAGAGAAGATGTAATACTTAAATTTGCCTGTTGGATTTTTTATATATAGAATAGAGTTTTGTTGGTGGTGTTTTGAGTGTGCATTTTCACGGATTTTTTGCAAACTTGAATACTTCCTCAGGAAAAAATCCATTTAAAGTTTTCTAATTCGTTCAAGAAAAAATTGAACAAATGAATTTGTTGATCTAATGTTTACTGACACGCTTGCAAAAAAACAATCTGTTTCCATTAAAAATAAGTGCGGTATTCATTACGTAAGACATGTCAATAAAAACCCATGGAAACGAAACTCCAAAGTGGAGGGGGATTTCCAAACATTGTCCAAACTACGAAACCTTAAAGTTTAGGTATTTTTTACGCCCTGTCCTCATCGACACAGTTTAGATCGTTTAGGAATCAGGCCCCTGACCCTGTCTGTAAGGCCAGCCCAAGCTGAGATGGATACAACATCCCAGCAGATAGACCGAGATTCTCGCTAAAAATACCTACCCACTCGGAAATCGAACTCGGGTCTCCTGCGAGCAACAGTGAAGCGCCTACCGGCTATACCACAGACGCTGGTTACGACACCTTCAATGGCGTCTTTGCAGAATCCACATAAGAATATATTATTCTGGATAGGCGGGAGTTTGAGTTATTCACATGTTTCCTAAATAAAACTGGTTTCAAAGCGCACTATTCCATGTTGATGTGCACAAGACGCCTTTACCTTACTGAACTGAAGACTTTACTCACTGAATGTGTCTGGGTACGCTAATAGTGTGGAAAGCAATGTTTTACTCAAGACCTTTTATGTAAATTAGTTGGTCTATATTGAATGTACCCAATATGCTAGTGATGTTGAAAGCATTGACCTTGTGTAAATTAGTTGGTTTATTGAATGTACCTGTATAAGCTAATGATGAAGAAAATATCTTTCTCGTCATTATAATATGTAAATTGGTTGGTTATTCGATGTACACGTATAATGGGCTAGTAATGCTGAAATCATTGCCTTACTCATGACTTTATTTAAATTAGTTTTCACTCGAATCGCTAGTAGGGCGGTTTCCGAAAGCGAAAAATTAGTAATGCTCTTCACCTTTAGCATTTCCCTTTCTTTCCCAAGGAGTTTTTGTCTCTAAAGCAAGGGTCTAATGTATTTTTAAAGATATGAAAATGTTAGACTTATTGATACTGGTCGGTTGTTATAGATTTTAACAGTTTGGGGTAAATTTAATTTTTATTTTTTGATTTCTTTCAGCCGACCGAGTGGGGCGCAAACCTGTTTTTATCCTCTGCAACTTATGTATGTTTCTGGTTGGCCTTGGAGGTGTCTTCTCCCCAAATATCTACGTGTTCTTGGCAGTCAGGTTTTTTACTGGATTTTTCCAGCAGGTGCGTTACTACTTAATCTTAAGAGAAGTTGAGAAAGGAAGAGTGGTAGAGCTAGTGCGCGAGAGGGAGAGGAACACAGAGAGAGAGAGGGGGGGGCAGACAGACAGACAGACAGACAGACAGACAGACAGACAGACAGACAGACAGACAGAGGGAAAGAGAGAGAAAGGCAGAGAGAACCACAGAAAGAATGAGAGTGAGAGAGAGAGGGGAATGGGTGGGTGAACGAAGGAAGAAACGAGTAACTAAATAATATCATTAATAAATTGGTTTTCAGAAAATTAACTCCTTCATAGACTGATGAACGTTGTAACAAATGGGCTGATCGATTGACTGATCCGTGAACTCAGTCATTGGTTTCTTGAATGAATGATTGATTGGTGATATATTTCTTGGTTGATCTGTCAATGTGGTTAACTGACATTAGTTAGCAAACACGACAGCTTTAACCATTAAATTTGATGCTTATGATCAGTTATTTAAGTTGAGCTGAGTCTGACAGGATAATCCTAATCTGTTCAGTTTTCTGCCCATTGCACTATTCAGCTATTAATTATTGAATTTTCTCATTCTTTGCCTAAAGAAAGACTTTGAACTGTCCCATCTTCTATTCTTCTTACGCACATCAATGACGAGTGCGTGTTCTCTATTTTTTAAGCATTTTTTAAAGAGGGGCGTTCTTTTGATGTTGTTGTTGTTGTTGTTGTTGTTGTTGTTGTTGTTCTTGTTGTTGTTGTTGTTGTTGTTGTTGTTCTTGTTCCAGCCATGTTGCCAGATTCACACAAGAATAGACAAACAGACGGCACAAGTGTAGGGCGTTTAAATCAAAATATTGCAAGTTGTGAATATAAGCCTGTTCTTTGATTGAAGTGTTTTTTTTTAAAAACACTCATCCCTTTTTAAGGCCTAATTTGACATAACATTTTTTATTTTAAAGCTAATTTTAATATTATGTAATCCATGTTACAAATAATTACTGGATTATAAATAAGGTCTCATCCATACAAATCAGCCTCAGTCATGGGATGGGCTGTTGGAAGGCGCCACTCGTAGATCCTACTTCTTTTAATTCCTTCTGTTGATCTTCTGTCTTACTAATTCTTGCACCGTTTATGTGACGATGTGCTTATCTTGATGCAAACAATCAGAGAACACACCTTCTTCCTCATTTGTTTCTTTGTGTTTGTTTACTCTTCCTCTGCACTGAACGACCCTGTGGGTGATTGTTGGGTGCTCTGGTGTGGTTTACTCCTTCTTTTCTTCAAAACATCAATCGTGCTTATCTTTCCTCCTTTATTGTGTTCTCTCAAGTAACACTGCTGATCTTCGGCACTCATATGACCTTTTAGTGTTGCAAGTGCCGTAAAACACTTACTTGATCTAAAACCGAAGGACCGTAACCGTTATTGTATCGATGTGCTTCTTTTCACGCGAACAAACAGGGCACAGGCCTGGTTCCTTTTTAAACAAATGTCTGTCTGCCTTACTCTTTCTCTGTTCTAAACCGCCGTTGTTGTATCGGTATGCTTCTCTTACCGACCTATGGTGTAGCAATCAAGCACTTCGTTATCGCACGCAGGAGACCCCAGCTCTATTCCCTAGTTGGGAGAATTTTTATTGAATATCTCGGTCTTTCTGCTGGGATGCTGTATCCCTCTCAGCCCAAACTGGCCCTGAGAGGTAGGGTCAGAGGTTTGCCTCCTAAATGATCTAAATTGGATCGATGGTGGCCTAAAAATCTGCATTTTAAAGACGTGCTTCTCTTTACGCAAACAACCAGGGCACAGGCCTGGCAGGCTTCACTCTCCTAATGGAGCTCACGGTGCCGGAGCACAGACGCTATGTGGGCGTCCTGGGCGGCACCAACTGGAACATTTCGATGGTCATGCTTGCTCTCACCGCCTACCTCATGAGGGATGCTTCATGGAGGTCTATGCAGTTAGTCACAGCTCTGATGGCCCTCAATGCACTCATCTACCCCTTGTGAGTTGACACAGATTATGCTGAGAATTATCGTTAAATGTTAATATCTATGTGCGTTAGCGTTAGTATTTCTTTTTCACTCATATCATAGTATAAACATTTGAGTTCAACTCGTCCCAAACTGTTCCTTCGAAAGGTAGTTCGACACTTGGCGAGGAAATTAGACTCTTCAACTTCAACAGTTCTGCATTTTGTACCGTTGCAACGTTTGTTTAGTTGCCCTGTCCTTTTAACGTGGTTGTACCTTAAGATAGACTCACTCCTTTGTTGGTTAAGTAAAGAATCGTCATTCCTTTGTGTCACGACACGGAAAAATCAGACGCGCTTCAATGTTGTGGGCATATCAAATTATTGGTAACGCCTTCAAGCTTGTTCATTTGTCTTGCTTTTGATTAAAATACATCGATATGTCATGAATCGAAATATTTGTGATTGGAGGAGGTGCGGTCACCTGGTTTCAGAGGGAGGTAAAATTAGAGAGAAAATGGCTGATCAAGTTTAGAGACTTCCACACTTGAGTGTCTTTGGAAGCTGCGAATGTACATTTCAGTGCCTTTGACCAGAGTTTTTCAGTAAAGTCCTCACATAAATGTATTTTTGGTGGACATATTATTAGGTGCTGAACCCACCACAAAATAAAATCTATGAACGTTGCCCAACGGGCGGAAAAGATGTAAGTTTCTTTGATTTTCTTATTTTAACAAGCCCCTGGCTTCACCACGATACAACACAACTTAAGGTTGAACCTTTGTCGTAGGACGTAAGTGAGGATATGAGACCAGTTACGTGCACGTAGGAAACACATAGATAGAATAGTATATTACTTATTCTGACTAGTATATTACTAAGAAAATTGGGGGATACGTTTTGGTCATTTGTTTATATAACATTACCAATTGTCAGTGTCCTATGTTCTGTGTTTGTCCCAGTGATTTTACAACAGTTGTATTCATAATGCTTAAGACTACTGAAAAAGACTTGGAAAGATGGGGGAGGGGAGGGGGAGTTAAACAGAAATAGAATATTTTACAACATTTTAAAAAATCATGATAATAGTTTCGAAATCGTAGGTGTAGTGTGTTCCCTTTATCATAGTTTTTTCCCCTGCATCCCCTTCTGTCCCTCCCTTTTCCATGACTAGCCTCTTGGTGGAGTCCCCTCGGTGGCTGATCGCCAACAAGAAGTATGACCAAGCCTTGGCAGTCTTGAAACGGGCATGTAGAATGAACGGGAAAGACTTTTCGAAAGTGCAAAAACTCTTCAACAGGAAAATCCGCAGTGTTGAAAATGGATTGTC